AAAAAAAAAAAAAAAAAAAAAAAAAAAAGAGAAAGAGAATAAAGTCTTTTCAGCTGGTTTGGAATTAAAGTCAGTGAAAATATTTTTTAGATTTTTGATCTTTGTGAGGTTGTTTTCTCTTGAGATGGGTCCATCTCCTTGCTGATTATTTTACCTGCTGGGGAAAAGGAACCTGAGGGGTTTTTCATAGTTGAAGAATTTTCTTTGGGTTTTCAATAACTGTAAAAAKGGCAGGGAAGCTGATTGAGTTAGAAAAACAGCCTTGTCTGAGTAGGAAAATACTGCCTAGGTGTATAAGACCAGGTAAATAACTGGTCTGGGAAATGTGTGTGTTACAAAATGTGGCAGGGTCTTTGCTGCTGCTGCATCTCCTTGTGTGGCATTAGCAGTGGCACTGATGGGCAGTTTGCTGCAGGTTTAAGGTAACTTTGGCTGGCTATTTCATTAACTGATCATAGGAACCTCAAACTCTGCTCCAGTCCAGGTGCCTTGCCAGGAACTTGGTGTGCCAAGTCGTGGGATTTGAGGCATTTTCAGCAGCAATTCTTGATAAAGTTTAAGGAAGCACACTTGAGACRTGGTCAGGCTGCAGCTGAAGAGGTTTTCACATGTACAGCTTGATTTGAGCAAAAAGCTACTGTGTGCAATCCAGTGCCAACACTTCTCCCTTCCCCACCARTCAGAAGGAAATGCTGCACTATGTTTCTGACATTTTGGCATGGTTTGGTCTTGTTCAGCCTGCTGCCTTCCCCTTTTGCTCCCTGCCAGATGGGAGATGGGTTTCTTGCCCCTGCCAGCTTAAACTGGCTTTTTCTGMAGCTCAGCTGAAAGAGCTGTGTGGGAGGAGATTCTGTGAATCGTCATCTAAGGGGAAATGGCAGTGAAATTTTGCTGGTAAAGTGACAACTGATGATGCAGCTCCACTGTTTTCCTTATTCATGGAACCAGAATAGAGTCACAGAAACATTTAGATGGGAAAAGCCCTCTGAGATCAAGGTGGCCAACCATTCCCCCAGCAGTGCCAAGGATTGGCACGTTATCCCATGTCCCCCAGTGYCACATCCACATGGCTTTTGAATCCCTCCAGGAATGGGGACTCCACTGGCCACCCTTTCAGGGCAGGAATTTTCCCTTACATCCAACCTAAACTTGCCCTGGAGCAACTTGGGGCCCTTTCCTCTTGTCCTGTCATTTGTTACCTGGGATGAGAGACTGGCTCCCATCTGGCTCTGCCTCCTGGCTGGAAGTTGTAGGGAAGCAAAACTGGGACAGTTTCTACTTATCAAGAGGTTCTTGGTGTCTCTGAACTTGTGAATTAGGCAGGAGGAGACAGGAGCTCAGGTTTAGGAATCTCAGCTTGGGTATGATTGGGTTTCCATCCATTCTCAACACACAGGGTTTCATCCCAGCTTCCCTGCCCATGGAATGGGGATAACCTCTCCTTTCCTCCTGAGGAAGGGGGAGGAACRTTTCCAAACCATTTTGCATCTGCCAGATGTGAGTTGTTTTATCARTCTGTACTCTTGACCTGCCTCCCAGCCTTTTGCAACTGAAAACAAAGTGGTGCCGGAATTATGTAACAAAAAAATTTTATTTGACGTGGATAATCTCATAGTTGAATTTCTTCAGTTGGCTTTCAGAAGGAGATAAATATTTGCTGTCTGTGCAGGATAGCAAGATTGTTTTTTTCTCTTTTATGCCCTTGGTGCTCTTGGATTTAATATTTTTCCAGGGAAGGCTATCAGTTCTGTGTACTAAAGCCCAGCTCATCCTGTCCAGCTGTCTTTCTATCACCAGCAAGTCTGTAGCTTGTATCACAGGCAGTGGGAGGGCAACTCCTACCTGAGGCATGTGCTGACATGCAGCTTCCCCAGCCAGGGCACACACAGCAGGCTCAGGAGGGAGCAAACCTCGACAGCCTGGGGAGGGGAGCCAAGACACCAAACGTGAGTTTGCCAAACGTGGGGAAATAAATGTTCGTGTTGGGAGTGATGGTCCTGAATCAGGCATTTCTTGAGTGGGAAATTATCTATTGCTTGGGAGTGATGGTCCTGAAGTGGGCATTTCTTGAGTGGGAAATTATCTATTGCTTGTACAGCATTTCTTCCCCCTGCAGTTGGAGTGTCCAAAAAGGCTCAAATCTATTTTCTGGTGACTCTGCTGTTAATAGCAGCTGTTGGTCCTGTATCCAGTACTTCAGAGATGTACTCACATAATTTGAGGTCCTTCTCCCAGGGTACCTCACACTACATGTGAAGTTTCTTGTCCCCCCATCCCAGCACAGCATTGCCATGCCTGGAAGGAAATTCTCTGGGAGACAATGTACATTAAGGTTACTTCAATATTTTATTTTTCAATTAGTACAGATTTTATCATTAYAGGTTGATTTTGTTTGCAACTTTAATTCTGGACCTAAATTCTTTTTTGTATCCTATTATTAGGATTAGGATCTTGTTGTTGCCTTTTTGACTTCGCTGTCAGCAAAGCTTGGGTTGTCACCTCACACKAATTGTGCCATGGGTTTGCCCAAAATCCTTAAATATTCCAGTGTGTTTGTACATATTCTTGTGTCTTTAGATTTGGGAATTGAGTATAATTTTATAATTTAGCCAGAGAAGTGAGTATTTCCATATAACTTTGTTCCACATGAGAAATCAGGAAGGRTAAGAGTGTTGGGTAGTATTTCAGCCAGCCATAAAAAAAAAATCTTTATGAGAAATCTTGAGGTGAATTTGTTTTTCAGATGCTTCAAAAAAGGCAAAAAAACTGTTGACTTAGAGCAGACTATTCATCATGTCTGCATCATGTGGCCACAATCTATGTTAGTCAGACACTGTTGTAGTTATTGCCTGAGATTATTAATAGATGAGGAATTTAAAGATACATCTTAAAACAACTCTAAGCAAGGAGTCAAACCGGTCTTTGAAGATATTTGCTGAACACCCACAACCAAACAGTGGAGTTTTTCCTGGTTTCTGCCTTGTTTCATCCTTGTTTCTCTCTTCCTCATCTCTGGGGGTTTGGRTTCAGTAGGGTTCAGGTCCTTCCCAATTTGAAAATCCCAGTGTGCTTTTCCTATAATGCCTCGTGAGCTCTGTTTTCTTTGTCATCCATATGTCCTTGCTTTTGGGGTTTTCCCCTCTTCCAGCAGGGGAGAAAAACACTATAAATATTTTTGGAAGAATGAGGAGTTGTTGCAACATCCCCTCAAAGCCTTTGTGAGTTAGGGAGCCATATAACACGACAGCTTCTTAAGCGCCTGAGATGCCTACACCCAAATATGAGGAAAAACATGAGGATTTGAGTTCCTGGTGCCATGGTCTGTGAGAGGGATGAGGATRTGTCAGAGATCTGGATAACTTCTGCACAGAGGGTGGATGGAGGATCTGTTCTGTGTACAGAGAGATGTGGACGATTCCTGGGCTCTGTCTGAGTGAGGAAGAGGCAGGACAAGCTGGGAAAATGCTGGGGGATGGAGCGAGAAGGGAGGATCTGTTCTGTGTACAGAGAGATGTGGACGATTCCTGGGCTGTGTCTGAGTGAGGAAGAGGAAAGAACAAGCTGGGAAAATGCTGGGGGATGGAGCGAGAAGGGAGCTGGGCAGGGACTATCAGATGGTGTTATCTGAAGTACATTCTGGGGAAAGGTGATGGAGAGGAGGAGAAAAGGGATGTTGTTCATTTTGATAGCAAATCTGAAAAAAAAAAAATAGGTCCTGGCCGAAAAGGGGAGTTTCATTCCTTAGGTGAGGAGGAAAATAGAGCAGCAGGACAGGCAGCCCATCAGAGTCCATGTACCTTGTGTCCCAGATCCTGCATCCCTTGCATTTCTCACCTGTGTTTGGAACTGAATTCAAGCTTTGAGCCTGCAGTCAGCTCTCAGGGCTGAGGTGGCTGCCCTGGATCTTCTCCATCCCAAAGCACCGGTGAAACAATGGGATTTCATCTCTCGTGGAACTTTCAATGTGGCAATTGCTGAATCTCACCTTTTATTTTAGGTGATGCTGTTTATGTGTCTGGAAATGTATGTGCTGTGTGTCAGGCTGTTGGAAGGCTAAAGCTGAAATATCACAGCTTGCATTAAACTAGTTTTGCACATTCTCATAGGTATTATGATCATCTACAAGCAGAGGAAAACTTTTGTCTCTCTCTTTTAGATTTTATTTTGTCCAGCCCATGGCCTCACAGTGCCTTTGTTGTTYTGCAAAGAAGATAAAATCCATTATATTTGTGTGAAAAACACAAATGTGGTGTAGAAGCAAACCGATCTTCACATTATTGTGAGAGAGGGAATGGTTCTGTCTTGGGATAGAGAAATGAAGGCACAAAATTAAATACTGTGACCAGACTCYTTTAAGTGTACAACTTCAAATTATAACTACATTACCTCTTCTGTCCTTATTTCCAGCTGAGAGAAGAGAAACTACAAGAAGAAAAGACRTCAGAGGATCTGATTCACAAGTTCATTCTAGATGACATGGATGTAGGGAAAAGAAAAATGGAGGAACAGCAGAAAAAAGAGGAGTCTGTAGTGCTGAAAGGGAACCAAGAGTGTGTAAGTAAGCTCATGCTTCCCCTATCTGTCCCCACAACCAAAATTTYCATTCTTAGGCTTTCCAGGATTCCTTGATAGAGTTTTTATAGTTTGTGAAGGCTATGAGCTGGCAGATTATTATAAAGATCCATGTTGATGAGAGCTGTTTTGTAAGGTTTGTCATGACTGCAGATGTTCTTGCAGAGGTTTCTGTCCCTGCTTTCGCCCTCCACTACATGACTGTGCCAGACACAGCAGATCCCCTCAGCTTTGGGGATATCCTTGGTCCTCAGGCTTCATGCATTTCTGTGAATCTTCTGCAGTGAAGCTGTACAACTGAACTTGAACACATTCTTCATGCTGACTTTTGCCTATTCCCCATTTTGTTTGGGAGGCTCTGCAGGAAATGCTGTTAAAATTTCTGATAGGCTGACCCAGGGGGCTGAGTAACCGACACCTTGTCGTACCTTTAAATGTAGAATTTTCTTACATTTTCTTGACTAAAAGATTAACTTTATTCTACAACTAACAGCTATATATGGCAGCTGTGTGCTTAGTTTTGTATTATTTATGCCTTGTGCCCTCCCAGTMTAATCAGAAATGGGGGCTTTTGAGATGTTTACCACCTTTGCAAGAAAGCTTTATTTTCCAGGTTATTCTTTTTGTTGTAATGTCAGCTAACTCTTCCTTGGTTGACTTCAGTTTCCTGAACGTCTCTCGGATTCTGAGAACGAGGAACCATTCCAGGGCAAGCAAACGCATCGGTCAGCTTTTGTTTCCAAGACCAGTGCCTACTCCTTTGCTTTCCTTTCAGGGTAAGATGCTGAGACTTTATTTTTAAAGATGTTCTTTTGACTTGTTTTTAAACCTGAGGTGCTCTAACTCAAATGGTTGTTCCAATCTAAAATAAGTGAGTTATTTTTCTGGAATTTTTGAGCAGGCTCACTGGTAGAAAGTTGTGTCTGTCTGATTACTTCCTACCTGGGAGTTAAGGAAGTTAATGTTCATCCCATGAAGGAGAAAAATCCTTGCCTGTAGGTTTAAACCATTAGTCAGAAATCAAAATTCTGCAGGATGAACACAAGAGTGCTGGTTCCTTCTCTAGCACAGATCTGAAGGGATAGCATCAGCCCCAAACAACTTTTTCCTTGTAAAGCTGTTGTTTGACGCAGTGGAAGCAGCTGAGTAGTGAGGTGTGTGGGGTTCCCACAGCTTCCTCATTAGCACTGACCTCAATTAATGATGAGTTGTGGGTGGAGGTGTCTGTGTGTTCAGTGTGAACACAGACCGGGATTCTGCACAAATCCAAGATTCTGGATCCCTTCCCCCAGGGGCACAGGAGAAATCTCTGCCAGGCAGGTGCAGCCAAGGCTGATGCCTCTGCCCCAGGTAGCTGCTTGTTGTTCCTAAGGTCACAAACAGTCTCCTGTTCTCACCCATCTGCTTCTCAGGAATTTAACTGCCAAGGTGGAGAGGAGTCGGAGCTGCAACGACACCATTCAGGARAGATCCAAGAGCAGGCAGAGATCAGCCCCAGCCAACAAAACCAAGGTACAGGCAGCGTCTGGGAACGGGTTCCTGTGTGTAAATGTTCTTATCTGAGGTTACAGCAGCAGTAATCTGGAGATATGAAATATGGGCTTTGTGGCACCGTGTTATCGCCACAGGGCCAGTCGCTCCCAAACCTGCTGGGTTAGGAATTRCTGAGCAGCAAAGCAGACAGGTGTCAGAGTTCTTGTGTAGTGTTGGAGGCTAATTGGAAGTTGAAAGGGTTCTCATCAGGCTTTTGTTTTGTGATTCATTTTCTTTTCRAGGCTGAATTCCCAGCCAATTAAGGAAAAATCTTCTAGAAGTTTAGAAAAACAATCCTCTTTTTGTGCCCTTTGCCTCCAAAGCTGTTTAAGCAGAGCAAAATTCCCTGCTTTCCTGACATCAGAGTACTACATTCCATTCTACAGGAAGAGCCAAAGGCCTGGCCTCCATAGGATCACAGGATGGTTTGGGGTTGGAAGGGAACTTAAAGCTCCTCCCACCCCCTGCCCTGGGCAGGGACACCTTCAGCTAGACAAGGCTTTTCCAGCCCCATCCAGCCTGGCCTTGAACACTCCCAAGGATGGGATAGCCATCCAGCTGCTCTTGCTGGGATGTTCCACTTCCTCATGCTGACACTGCTCCTTCTTGGGCTGGGTTTCATCCCTGGTGGAGAAGGAGAGTGTTCAATTGAAGAGATCCCATGAGGAGCAGAAACCTGTGCAATTTCTGCCATCTGAGCTGACAGGAGCTGGACTGAGCCCAAAGCAAGGATCCATAACTTAGCTTCCCTGCCAGGACTTYCTTTTTTTTTAAGTGGATGGCTGATAGATGTGACCAATTACAGCTGCAGTACAGGGTATTCCAGAAGCTTACCTTGACCTCAAAATTAGCAAATAGAAAAACTTTCTCTTGAACTAAGCAGAGAAAAGCTGTCGTTGTACAAACTAGCTGCTGGATAAAAATATTTCATCTAAGTGCTAAGAATAAGACTGTTTGCAGTTGTGTGTGGTTTTATCTCTCTGATTTATTTGTGTGTGGATTATGCCCAAGTGTGGCAGCATTAAYGGACAGTCTTAGACATGATAAGAAATGTTTCTCTTAATCACAGAATCATCCAGGTTGGAAGGTCATCTAGTCCAACCCACCAGCCTAGCACCACTAAGTGGGCTGGTTTATCCAGGTAAAGAGAAAACACACATCAAGGCCAGGTTGGACAGGGCTTGTAGGAATCTGTTCTAGTGGGAGGTGTCCCCTCCCGTGGCAGAGGGTGGCATGGGACAGTCTTTGAAGTCTCTCCCCATCCAGWGATTGTGCGATTTTGCCATCGGAGCAGTTGTTGCTCATGGCAAGAGCGGCTCTTAGACTGAAATAAATTTGACACCCAGATCGTGCTGGACTCTGGAATGTCCTGCTC